TTATCAATTAGGTTGAGTCCTAATGCAATGTGATCTGTGTCCCTATGAAAAAAAGAAGCCACACAGGCAAAAAAACACAAAGTGAAGAAAGTGAAGATTGCCTGCTGCCAGTAAAGACAGAGGTGGAAATGAACATGCAACTTGGGCCACACTAAGAATTGCCAAGGAGTGAGGGCAGTTCACTCTGAGAAGCCAAGAACAGGAGAATGAAGAGTCTCTTTCAAAGCCCTCAGAAAGAATCCACAATACCATTGGCCTAACACCATCTACAAAGACAATGTCTTAGATCCTGCTTTGGTGAGGAGAGAGGGCTGGAGTCTCAGAAGCTTGTGAGCAGCCGTCTAAGATGCAATCCTTTGGTCTCTAATCTGTCTGGAGCAAAGACAAGGGAAGAAAAATTAAAGATTCAAGGGAACAATCAATCCAAAGAACACAAACGACAGCCTTCACCAGCCGGAGGCCAGAACTAGGAGGAGCCCACCCTGGCTGATGCTACCACCCCTCTGAATGGGATCACAATAAAAGGTGGAGTTGGGCAGAGGAGATGAAAATTCTAGAACACAATCCAAAATGGTGGGGAAGGAAAATAAAAGCTGACTTACTGGTCTGACGGAAACTGGTGGGACCCTCAGGACTATGGTTAGCCCTTTGACACCCTTCAACCCTGAAGCCAAGCCCCTCCCCAAGGATCCCCTTCCAGGTAAACAATTTACTACAGTTCCTTATGGTGGAGTTGGAGCTGACTCACAGTTAGCTCATTGTTGACCCTCCAATGGGTTTTTAGAGGCTGTACATCACGTGAGAAGAGCCGGCTCATAGGTCTCCCTCTGAGCTGCTGGTGGAATCGAACTAGCTGTGTTTAGGTTATTAACACAACTCCTTGTGGACTACACCACCTGAGCTAAACAACACTCAGGCCGACAAAGTGAACACCCATGAGGAACATACTCCTGAAAACAATCAACCATAAAAGACCCAAAAGGCAGCATTTGCCCAAAACCAAAATCCAGAAGGCAGAAAGGGGTGGAAGAAGGACAAATGGCAATGGGAAATCCAAGGAAGGGTGAGAAGCGATACACTGAAGGGATTGCAACTACAGTCACAAAACATAAAGTACATGATTGTTGAATGCAAAACAAAGGTGCTCTGTAAACGTCAAATCAAATTGTTGTTGTTAAGTGCCATCGAGTCACAGGCTACTCATAGCAACCCTATGAAGGAGAGTCCTCGACGCTTGGGTGCCTTTCATCCTCTCTCCAGGTTCATAGGGTTTCCGGAGGCAAGCTATTATGGAAGTGGATGCCACTCCTCCTTCCAACAAATCAAATTACAATTTAAAAAAACCCACAAAGATAAAATTAAGAACCCGCATGGCTGATACCATGATTTTTGACTCCTAACCTACATAACTGTGAGACAATAAATTTGTCCTTTGAAGCTTTCCAATTTACAGGGAGTACTAGGAGCTTAGTAGTAAGGAGTTGCACTCCCAACCCAAAGGCTTAAAGTTCAGATCCACCAGTTACTCCCTAGGAGAAAGATGGGTAATCTCCTTTGAAAACTGGAGGGTCAGCTACCAGGCCATTCTTACTTGATAGTGCATAACAACAACAACAACAACAACAACTCAATTTGTGGTACTTTGTCACCATATTAGGAAAAAGAGCTGGAAATGTTGGCAAATAGTATTAACAGATCGCTCAGCCATGGCCAAAATCAAGGCTCAGGACCTTCGCAGCAAGAAGAAGGAGGAGCTATTAAAACAGCTGGACGATCTGAAGGTGGAGCTTTCCCAGCCGCGCGTGGCCAAAGTGACAGGCGGTGCGGCTTCTAAGCTCTCCAAAATCCGAGTTGTTCGAAAATCCAGTACCCGTGTTCTCACTGTTATTAACCAGACTCTGAAGGAGAACCTCAGAAAATACTATAAGGGCAAGAAGTACAAGCCGCTGGATCTGTGGCCCAAGAAAGCACTTGCCATGCGCCGAAGGCTCAACAAGCATGAGGAGAACCTGAAGACCAAGAAGCAGCAGCGAAAAGAGCGCCTGTACCCACTGCGGAAATACGCAGTCAAGGCCTGAACTTCTTAAATAAAGAAAACACAAAACTAAAAAAAATAAAATAGTATTAACAATCAACAAGACTCTCAGATTCTATGTTCACACTTCAGACCTGGAACAAAACTCGACCTCATGGCTACTTTCAGCCAAATGAGCCTATAAAATGACAAGAACATCGAGGAGACATTTACCCTTAGAATAAGCAACCACATAAGAACAAAATATGAGCATTAAGCCAAGGTCAAGGTCCAGAAGGCAGTTGGGGTAGAAGGAGGATCAGTGGAAATGAGAATTATAGGGAGGAAGTGGGAAAAGATCAATTACATGATGGATATTGTGAGGAATGTTCTAAAATAAAATGTATACGAATGGTTGGATGAAAAATCAATTTGCTTTGTAAAACTTTCACTCACAGTAAAAAAAGGGAACCAGAAAATCTTATTCTAGTCCCAATTCAAATTGTGCACACTTAGACAAATCATTTTCCATCTCCTAGTCAGTTTTCCTTGCCTATAAAAAGGGAAAGTGGGAGCTCTGGTGGCCTAGTGTAAGAAGCCGCACTGCAATCCCAAAGGCACATGGTTTGAATCCGCCAGCTGCTCTGTGGAAAAAGGATGGGCAATCACCTCCCATGTGATTAACTGTCTTTGAAAACCAACTAGAGGGTCAGCAATGTAGTTGGTTCTGACTTGATGGTACATAACAACAACAACAAAAGGGAAACCAATACTTTCATCACAGGCTGCAGTGAGGATCACTGGAGAAATGTTGAAAGTACTTTGTTTAGACAGGGAACGAGGAACCCATGACTTGGATGCTGGGATGTCGCTCAGAATAAGGGAAAGGCATTGTATGCGGGGTAAGATGGCACAACTATGTGAATCCAAGTGTGCTATGACTGCAGGCTGTCTACAATGCCTCTGCCCAACTCCCTGCATCCTCGGGCATTTTCATAGCTTTTATTCCTGCAGCCCTAATCTATCAAGAGGGACGGGGGGAATGTGTGTCTCAGATAGGTCCTTAAAAATTAGAGCCCATGTGTCCACCTTGCAGTGAGCCATGACACAGATTTGGAGCCCATGGTGGGTAGAAAAGTGTCCCTCTGGGGACCTCTCCTGAGTGCTAAGGAGTAATGATGTCAGTCTGGAGACTAAGGTGTCCCTGATCTAGGCAGGCCATGGTCCTGTCAATTGCTTGCCATGCATCTGAGAGCTGGACAATGACTAGATATGACTGATGAAGAATTGATGCCATTGAGTTGTGGTGCTGGAGAGAGTATTTGAAGATATCATGGGCCACCAAGAGAACAAACAGGTCTGTCCTGGAGAGGGTGAAATCAGATTGCTCCTTGGAGGCAAGGATTTTGAAGCTCCATCTCACATACTTTGGGCCTGTTTTCAGGAGGGACCTGTCCTTGAAGAGGGACATCACACTTGGAAGAGTAGAGAGTCAGCAAAGGACAGAAAGATCCTGGATGAGATGGATTAACACAAGGACTGTGGCAATGGGGTCAGGTGTGTCAGAGATGGGGAGGTTGGCTCAGGATTGGAGAGGGTTCAAAGCCATTGTTCACAGGTCGCTATGAGTTGTAGTTGAGGAGACAGGACACAACAACCAAGATGTGTACATCCTAATCCATGGAACATATGACTATATTACCCTGTGTGGCTGAAGCGACTTTGCAAGGACCCTGAGATGAGAGATTACTCTAAAGTCCCAGGTAAGTCCAGCGCAACATAATCTCTCGGTGAAGAGAAGGCAGAAAACACAGATACAACAGAACTAGAGGTGGCAGTGATGCTGTTATTGGCTGGAGGGAATCCAAGAGCCAAGGAATGAATCTCTGGAAAAGGCAAGGACACAGATTCTCCTTCAAAACTTCTAGAAGATCCCATTACTGCTGGACCACTGGAATATATAGCCTGATAAGACCCATCCCAGACTTGTGACCTTGACAAATCCAAGAGAAGACATCTGTGTTGTTTTAAATCACTAAGTTGGTGCAGCCTGTGGCCTTGACATTTGGACAGTTGATAAAAGTGAAGCTGTATACATAAAACAAAAGAGGGGATGAGCTGCAGGCCACTTTAGGGGCGTCCCAGGCCTGAAACTGTGACTCAGCATTTCCAGGCTGTGCTGAGTCAGCTTGGTTCTCTCGGAGGATGCTCCTGAACCACCCTCCATCCCCAAACTGGTGCCTTCCAGAGTCCTGGCCTGTCTTCCGAAGCCGCAGATAATGCACTTATTCCCAAACACTGGCTTCAGTTTTGAGAGGGAGGATAATGTTTTATTGACTTGGCACTGAGGAATAAGGGGTGGCTACAGGCCCCCGGGGTTCTTTGCTGCTGCAAAGTGGAGGCTCTGTGGTGGGAGCACATAAAACAGAGATGCTGGATCCAGCTGCCGGAAGGAGCCATTGTCCCTGCTTTGCCCATCCCCTCCCCCCAAGTCCTTTTGTCCAGGTAAGCACCATCTGATCCCAGGCCCTCCTGCAATGAGGTTCCTCTGTAGCCCCTGGAGGTCTAAGGTAATGGTGGTCTCTCTGTCTTCCCTGTTTTAGATGATTATATGATAGGAGAGGGAGAAGCCCTCTTTATGCCTCCTGGGCCTGGATCCAGAAAGGAAGGGTCAGGAGGTTTGTAACAGGAGTACCAGCAAAGAGAAGACGTAAGAGTCATTTCTCTCTCCCCAGTTTCCATTGTAGTTGAGCAGAACCCGGGAACTTTCATTGAATCGCACCCACAATAGCTGATGACAGGTTGAGGTCACATGAGTAAATGTGACAGAGCCAGGCTGCCTGACACAGGACTATACTCTCTGGGCAGGCTCTCTCCCCAGTGAAGGGAGAGGGGCAGAGTGAACTCCAGTTGTCACAGGAAGGAGGGCTTCCTGGAAGAGGCAGGAGGGCAGGCTCCCAGAAGTGGAGCCCGCAGAGCAGCTGGGTCATGAAAGTCGGCATTGGACGCTGGCATCTTCGCTGTGGTCACAGTTGTGGGCATCCCAGCGGATGTGAGAGCACAGCAGCAGGACGCTCTCATCCCCACGGCACTTAACATTGTCCAGAAGAATGGGCCCTCGGCCTGGGCCAAAGTGGGCCTCACCAGGGGCCGCCAGGGCTTGGCCACAGCCCAGCTGGCGGCACAGGACACCAGCTGCCCGAAGGTCCCAGGCATCATCGCAGATAGTGCCCCACCGCTGGCCAAGGAAGAGTTCCACACGCCCCTCACAGCGGTGGGCTCCGCTGGCCAAACGGAGATGCCCTGTTGGAGGTGGGAAAGGGCAGTGTTGAAATGGGCTTGGCCAGGTGAGGCTCCACCACAGGAAGGATAGACAGGATGAGCAAAAGGCAGTCATCTGGGACACACAGCAATGTGTTCAGAGCTGCCGGGTGAGCGCAGACAAATGGGACCAAAGTAGGATAGCATTAGTCCAGACTCAGACTGCAAGGTCTGGAAGGCAAAAGGCATGTATGTTTGTGGACTATGTGTGGGGCATTTTGTATCTCCTTGATTCTCAGTCCAGTGAGAAATCTCAGCACATTCATCCCCAGGCCAGCTCCCTGGAGACTGTGATCAAGTCCTGAAGGTTTCTTTGCCCCACTATTGCACCCTCCAACTCTACCAATTTCCTTAGGACAGGAGCCCTATGGCTTCATCACATCCTAGGCCTAGATTCTCTCACTTGCTCTAGCTCAGAGCCCAGGCTCTTCTCCAGGCCATCATAGTCTTGATAACCAAAGGACAGGGGTCAGGAACCAGTTCAAACCTGCTGAACTGGATGTATAACCCAGGCTGAGACTTCTCTCAGCTCAAGCCCTTCCCATCTCCTTGCCCCTCCACTCACTCTTGGGGGCTGTGGGCACCTACCGTCTCTGGGGCGGGGAGTAGGCACCTGGGTGGTCTCCGAACCATCCTCCTGGCCCTGCAGTCCCAGCTCCTCTGGGCCTGGATGGGCAAGGGCAGAGAAAAAAGTGGCAGTCACATAAACAGAAACGTTCCCTAGGGCCAGGGTACTCCTGACGTGTTGTAGGCACAGAAAGAATTCCACAGGATTCTTTTCTGTCCCCCATCTCTTGACTTAGAAATGAACTTTTGCTTTTTTTTTTTAGCCCTTGATTACAAAGCTGAATCTCTGTAGCCTAAGTGCTCCACAATCAAGGCTATAGGAAGGAGGCTCGGAATGAGTGTGATCTCAATTCCAACAGCAATAAACAGAAGGGTTTTTAAATGTCAGGTCACCCCTTTCCATTGATTCCTCCCAAAGGTCAGACACTCCTTGAGGTCTGATCAACTTTGCCCATTAGAGCTTGGCCAATGTTTAACTGCTAACAAAGCACACATTTTTCTCCAGATGTTCCACCTTGACCTCACCCGGCCAGGTTTCAAGCCTCACCCTGGGCCAGCCCTGCCCTCACTGCAGCAGCCCTACCTTCCCCAGGCCCCACCCAACTCTCACGCTGCAGAAGAAGCGCCCTTTGAGGACTCAGCCCATCCTGCGCAGCCGCAGAGCACACAGCTGGCTAGACCCCGCCCCTCTCAGCAGCGCGTGGCCCCGCCCCTGAATCCACTGTGCACAAGCGTGGCCCCGCCCACTCGTTGGCTCCAGCCTGGCCCTGTCTGTGCTGCAGTGCGCGCGCCTCACCTGCACAGAGCGCGCCGGCGTCCTCGTGGTGGCCGCAGTTGTGCTGGCCCCAGCCCAGGTGGAAGCAGTCGCTTAGGCGGGCCTCGGTGCCGGTGCAGCCCACATTGTCCAGCAGCACCGGGCCGCGCCCGTAGCCGAAGTGGCCAAGGCCAGTGGCACCCAGCGCAGGCCCGCAGCCCGCCTCACGACAGGCCACGCGTGCATCAGCGAAGTCCCAGTCATCGTCGCACACAGTGCCCCAGCCCCCGGCGTGCAGCACCTCCACGCGGCCGCGGCACGGGCCCGGGCCGCCCACCAGCCGCAGCCGCCCGCCTGCGGGGCGCACAGGCCCGCAGCCAGAGGGGCGGCTGGCTCCTGGTCAAAGCCCCGGCCCGACCCACGCCCCCACCCCTGCCCGGGCCATTCCGACTCCACTACTTACTTTTCTTCCCCAGGGCCCAGGCACTTGTGGTGAGCAGTTCGGTCTCCCTGGAGGGCTGAGCACCAGCTCCAGTAGCTGTGGGGATAAGGCATCTGGAGTGTTTGAAGGGAACAAGGTGCCCAATTTAGTTGTAGCTGGACAGCCTTGCCTTAACCCTCAGCTGTCTCAGACCCTCCCCACAATCACCATGTCTGACCTAGGCTGGGCTCCTCAGGAATCTTAGTTGAAATGAACTGAGTCATAATTCTCTACATTCAAAGTTTTTTCAAACCCACTTCTAATTCTAACCCCAATTTCAAACACAATTCCTCCTTTGATTCAGCTTTGTCCTTCAACCCCATCAGAAAGCCACCCCATTTTCAATTTTAGCACCAATCCAGATTTCGTTCCAAAGCTTTAAAGCGTTTCCTGACTGCCAACCCAACTTTTGAGAGCTCTGTGGGTTCTCATCCTTGCTCCATCTGTTGAGCTGTTCTTTTATCCACCCCTTTCCCATCTGGCTCAAGCCCTGACCTGGTACATTTCCACGTTCCAAGGCAGCCTTAGCAATTCTCAGCCCCACTCGTTGTACCCCCACCACTCTGCCCGTGGAGGGCTCCACCTCCTTACCCCAAGGCTCTGTGTGCCAAGCCCAGTCCTCTCTTGTGGCTGAGGGCGGCAGTGCTGTGAGAGTGGAGGCACTCAGCACTAGAGCAGGAGAGAAGGAAAGGATCAGGAGAGAAGGGAAGGATCAGGGGGCAATCGGTTCTTCCTCAGGGCTGAGCTGTCAGTGGAGGATGGGCTGGCCTCCCTGCAGAAGCCAACAGATGGGGCCAAGGACTTCTGCCCACTTGTGACATTTACTTGCGCTACACAAATGGACTCTGTCAGCCTAGTGGTATAGAGCTCAACTGCCAACCTGAAAGCACAGGTTCAAATCCACTAGCTGCTGTGTGGGAGAAAGATGGGCAGTCACCGTCTGTGCGATTAACTGCCTCTGAAAACTCCCTGGAGGGTCAGCTACTGTTCTGACTTGACAGTATATAACAACAATACACAAGTGGACTACACTTCTCAGTTTAAGAGGGCAGACATACTTTCATTTCTCTTCATTATTCTAACTGGAAATTGTGTCAGCACATGACCCATTCTGACAGCCAAGACGTGGAGATACAGAAGGCCTTGCCTACTAGCGGGGACCATCCATCCATCCCTAACCTTGAGTTTTTAAAAACAAGGCATGAAATATTATTTATTAGAGCAACAGGATTACAGAAGGCTACAATCCTGTTTTGGGAACATGTGTTTGTTGTTGTTGTTAGGTGCTGTCAAGTTGAGCATAACTTAAAATGAGTCTATGTACAACAGATCTGAATCCTGTCCTGTGCTTTCCTCACCAACTCTGATAAACTCAAGCCCATTGCTGCAGTCACTGTGTCAAGCCATCTCATTGAGGGTCTTCCTCTCTTTTGCTGACCCTCCAACCCTTCCAAGCATGATATCCTTTCCCAAGGAATAGCGTCTCCTAGCAATGTGTCCAAAGTATTAGAGATGAAGCTCTGCTTCCTTGCCTTCAAGGAGCCCTCCAGAGACATATCTGGCCACTATTACGAGTCTTGATCATGGAAAAGACATTATTACTTGCACTAACTAAACTTGGGTCCACCATCAGCATATAAATTCCAGGATTGCAGCCCCGCCCCATTCCAGACCCCCGCTCCCACCTAGGGACTGACTCACACCAGATTCTGCCCCACACCACCACCACCCCTACATGAAGACTCCACCCCCTACTCCCAGATGCGATTCACACCAGGCTCCGCCCCCACACCAAGACTCCGCCCCCACGACAAAGGCCCCGCCCCCTCCATAGGCCCTCTGGAGCCCACACCTGCGCAGAATGCACCAGCATCCTCATGATGGCCACAGTTGTGCACCCCCCAGCCGAGGCTCAGGCAGGCGGCCAGGTGGGGTTCGCCTCCTTCACAGTGCACGTTGTCTAGCAGGATGTGCCCCGTGCCATAGCCAAAGAAAGCATTGGTAGTGGCAGCCAAGGCCGCCCCACAGCCCAGCTGGCGGCAGACCACGGCAGCATCGGGAAGTCCCCAGTCATCATCACACACTGTCCCCCATATGCCACCATGCAGGATCTCCACTCGGCCTTGACAAGGACCAGTGCCACCCACCAGGCGCACACTGCCCTCACCTGGGGAAGAGGCAGAGGCATCTCTCGAGGGGGCTGGAAGATGCACCTAACCCAACCACTTACCTGGGACGCTCCTCACACTAGTTCCTGGCTACCTGTGGAGGGCAGCTCACCCACTTACAGTCCATATTTGGGGTGGTTTGTGGGACCACAGGACAGACCAATTGATTGTGTCACTTCTAAAGCCAGGCCTCTGTGTCCTTGTCTAAAACATGCATATGCTGCTTCCTCATTTACTCTTTGTAAATTTGTAAAGTTTTGTTTAACTCTTCCTCCGAGCAGTCCTCCCTGACCTAATGAAGGGGACCCTCATACTTGTCCGTATTCCATGCCTCTTATTCTGTCTTTCTGGTGGCTGTTATATTTTCTTGTATGTCATAGTCACTGGGGACATAGCAGGTTCTCGTTACTGTAGACCAAACTCCAACCTCCAGGCCCACCTTCCACTTCTCTAACCTTGTGCTGACCTTATTTTAAAATCATTTGTGTTATGACTATTTCCCTGTTTCTCAATCCAGACTTGAGCTGCTAGAAGTACTACTACAGGGGCCAGGGTGGGGTAAGGGAATGAATGACGAAACTCACCTATTTGTAATTCCTCTCTTCCCACTGCTGAGGGTAGGACCCTCCCTGGATCCATCTCCAAAGTGCCAGGCAGCCCTTCACGTTCATCTTACTTACCTTTTCCATTCTGAGCAGCCGTGGGTGCAACCCTGCTGGTTAACATCTTCCTTGTCAGGGGCTGTGTGGGCAAGAATTCTAGGAGGAAAGCAGGGTGGGAAAGAGGAAGACTCGTGGCTATCTCTGACCTCCATCTTCACACCCACATTGCCATGCAAAGGGTCAAAAGCCAAGTGGTGAATGCTACTCCCCAGCGCCATGCAACCCTTGGCCAGGTCTTCTGTAGGAAACAGCTTAGCAGCTTACTACTACGGAGTTTCTGCTTGGATCCCACAGCCTCCCCTAGCCAGTGTGCCCTCCCGGGACTCCTGCATCTGCTCACCATCACACAGGACCGCCACATCCTCGTAGTGAAAGCAGTTATGGACGCCCCAGCCCCGGCTGCCACACTCGCTCAGTGCGGCTTCCTGCCCACGGCATTCCACGTTGTCCAGCAGAATGGGGCCCCGGCCCTGACCAAAGGCTAGGGGCCGGGGCACAGGCAAAGCCAGGCCACAGCCCAGTTGGCGACACACCACATTGGCGTCCACCACGTCCCAGTCGTCATCGCACACGCTGCCCCAGGAGCCTCCATGCAGGACCTCCAGGCGCCCTCGGCAGCGGCTTGGGCCCCCTACCAGCCTCAGCTCTGTGGAGAGGGTTGAGCTGGCAGGAGGGGGGTCACTGGGCCCAACCTATGGTGTTCCCACCTTGCCATGAAGATGTGGGACCAGTCTCTCTAGACTTTATTTCTCCTTTGTGTCAAAGGGGAAGCCCCTCTGAATTGGTGGCCATCTGGAGTAATGGAGGGCTTTACGGTCCCTCCCTGATCCCTTTGGTCTAAGGGTCTAAGTGCCTGGGGTTTGGGAGCAAGGAGGAAGATAGGGGGCACCTACCTGGGAAAGGCAGTGGAGTGGGCTGTAGGGCGCTGGCTGAAACAGATTGAGGGAGATCATTGGCTCCAGGGAGCTGCCAACTCCAGGAAGACGAGGTCCCAAGTTCCTCAGTGTCTTCCTCCTCCTTGTTGGCTCCACTGCTCCTGCTTTGCTGAAACCCTATCAGCTTTCCCTGCCTCACACCTTCCCATTAATCCACTGGCAGCCCCAGAAAGATCTGCTTCAAACACTACTCTGCTTGTCTCACCCCACCGATAAATCTCTGATTGCCAGTCAGTACCTGAGCACAAAGTCGAAGCCCTGGAGTCATTCTCAAAAAACAAACTCAAACTCATCCTGTCTAGACAGTTCCATTTCAGAAAAATCCAATAACAGGTTTCTCAGGCTGTAAATCATAACAGAAGTGGACTGCCCGTCTTTCTCCTGCAGGGCTACTAGAGGATCCGAACCACTGGACTCACAGAGTTTGGATTAACTGTGCAACTGGCTCCAGATTAAATTTTTAAAATTTTATTATTTTGCGTGTGTGTATCATCAAATCGGATCTGACTGGTACAAGAGAAGATTGTCCCTCCTTCTCCATCAGAGCATCTGGTGGATTTGAACCGTGCACCTCTAGTATTGCAGAGCAGCTTCTTGCCACTACGCCACCAGAGCTCCCACACTGGCTTCAGACTACACCACATGAGCTGCCTTTCATCAAGCTACATCTTATCTCCAGGCCTTTAATCCTGCCATCTCCTCCACATAAACTAGTCTTCTGCAAACAGGGCTCATTCTAGCCCTGCTGACCCTTTAAGACTCTTTCAGAGGCAACTTCTCTGGATGGAAGGTCTTCTTCTAGCCCTTAGCTGGAAGTCCTCTGTTTGGGAGGATTAGGTGGGTACCATGTAGGCATTCCTTTCAAGGTCTCTTCAGGACCTCTGCCTGGCGAAGTGGGAATGCCTGTCTTGAGTGGTGTTATGTCCTTTTAGGCCCCCTGCTCAGAGCCTGTTACTCAGTAGATGTTCAGTAGCTTTACCTTAAATACATATTTAAGCTTATTTACATAATAGAATTTGTGATTTCTTATGATTTCCCCCCCAAAGATTTACCCATGTAAATCCTCCTGTAATCGAGCTGTGTGCTCGCTTGTTGCTTCATGTGAATTGGCTCACTTAATCATTGGGACAACTTAGGAGGCTGATTGTTTGCTATTGGGATTAGTGTTAGGTGCCAACTATGACTCAAAGTGACCCTGTAAACAACAGATCCAGATCTTGCCCTATCTTGTGCCATTCTCACAGTCTCTGCCATGCTCAAGTCCATTGTCACAGTCACGGTGTCAATCTCTCTTGCTGAGGGTCTTCCTCTCTTTTGCTGACTCTCTATTTTTCCTAGCAATGATGCTGGGAGGGTGTGGAAACTTTAGGTTTCTCAAAGTCACACAGTCAATAAAAGTTACATCTGGGATTCCAACTCAGATAAGCATGCTCTTACCCACCACGCAGCTCTGAGCACAGAGAAGGTAGGAAAAGAAAACAAGGAAACTGGTCAAGCGCACGAAATTTAAAGCTTCCCTTTGTGTCTAGGATATTATAGTTTTAGATACTGTCATATATGATCCCTCATAGACTCCTCAGCAGAATCTTCTGTGGCACATACCCAGTGCACTCAATCTACAACTGAAGAAAAGGACACTCAGCTGCTTCTTTCTTAAGTCGAGGGAGTCTAGTCGTCTGTTTCCATCTATTCTATCTACCAGCTGTCTCTAAAACTGGTAAGTCTATTCTTTTTCCTTCTTCCTGTATCTCCAGTGGCCTCTAATGGCTCACACCACCAGCACTGAACACTCCAAACTCAGACTGTTCACTTTCCAGACCTGCGCAGATGTCAGAGCTGGAGAGAACACTGCAGTCAGCTCATCCATTACCTGTGCCCCCTCCCATAGTATTGTAGTGGGGAAAACTGAGAGCCAGAAACAGGGGAGCAAGTCCGTGACGGGGCTTTAAATCACTCACCCAGTGGCAGGAGGAAGAGGAAAGACAGGGCTGGGGGCAGAGGGGAAGGGGTCATGCTCCCATCTCCTGGCCTCCAACCCCTGTTCTTCTCAACCGTCTGGGGACCAATCCTCATCTCCGTTTCCTTGTGCGTCCAGCCTGTGGATGGACTTTCAGGTGGTCCCATCAAAGGGTCATGGAGAAGACACAGATGGAACATCTGAAATGAAAGATCATTTCCAGCTGTAGTTATGGGAATGGGGGAACAGTGAACGCCCCGGAAGGGGGAAGTGACATTTCCACTTGAGTTTGGCATTCTGAGTATAGGCAACAGCATGGGTGACAGCTTGGAGCTGAGAAAGACTGGAACATACGTGGAAATTAACGAGGAGTTAAGTTTGGTTATAGAGAAAACCAAAACTCAATTGCTGTCAGATGGATTCCAATCCATGACGCCCTCTTTTGTGTCAGTAGAACTGTGCAACTGTGTCGCAGCATTTCTGTTCCTTTCATTCTCTTTTAAAACATTTTCTACATGTACGATTTGGGCACGTTGATTACGTACTTCAAGTTGTGCAACTATCTCTCCCTCCTTTTCTGAGTCATTCCTGCTTCATTAACATAAACCTACAACTCCTGAGGTTCCTATCTGAACTTGCTCTTTTTTATCCATGAATTTTTTGTTGTGATTGGCATGAAAGCCTGCAGAAGAAATTGTTTTTCCACTAAACAATCTAGACACGTTTCCTAACATTGACTACAACCCTCGCAGTGTAACCGCACTCTTCCCAACTCACCCTTGTGTTCCTCATTCTCATCCCTTCTTCTTCCCAGTTCCTTCCTGCCCTCTGAGCTTTAGCCTATTGATCTTGCATGTTTGCTTGTTCTCAAGAGAATATTCCTTCCTGGTCTGTTGCTTATTACCTTATGATTTTTTTTGTTTGTTTTTATTTCTGTGGAGTCAGAACCAACTCATAGCTGAGTCTCCACCCAGTTTTTAGAGGTGATACGTTGCACTAGAGGAGACTGCCTATCTTTCTCTCACTGAGCAGCTTATGGGTTTGAACTTCTTGCCTTTGGGTTGGCAGCTCATCTCTTTACCCACTAGGCTACCAGAGCTCCCCTGATTTATAGGCCTAATGTTTAGCTAAAAGCTGAGACCCAGAGGTGGTTTCCATTCCTGTCTTGAAGGGTGATTAAGGAACATAGTTTCAGGAGTTCTTCAGACCAGCTTGGTATTTTTTGGTTGAGCTTTGCTGCATATTTTCCTTCCACTTTCTCCTCCACCTTTTGCTGTGTTCCTGTTCAACATGGTCAGCAAGTGCTAGCCAGGCACTAACCAGTTCTTCTGGCCTCAGGATAGGAGTCACTGAAGTTTATGTGGCTAGCCAGTTCTTTGGACTAAATAGTCTTTGATTTTCTTTTCACCAGATGGAAAAACCCAACAGATACACCTTAGATGGTCACTTGCAAGCTTGGAAGGTCTCAGTTGCTATTCACCAAAGTAAAAAGTAGACCATTGTCTGTTTACTAACAAGGTAAAATTGTGTCATTGAACTTGACGATGAAGTTCTTCTGACTGTGGCACTGAACTCCCAGGCCCAGCAACTCATTGTCTCAAGGTGGTTGTAGCTAAGACATTTTCATAATTTTACCCTGTTTGCTATGTACATTGATGTACTTACAAAACATACAAAGACATATGCAGAAATATTGTCTGCCAAAGCTGTAGACTCATGGGTTGTCGTTGCGTGCCTTCGAGTTGGAACCAACCCCTAGCTAACTTTACAGCGGGTTTGCAGAGGCAGTTAATCACACAGGAGGAGATTGCTCATCCTCCCACGGAGCAGCTGGTGGATTTGAACCATGTGTCTTCAGGTTTGCAGCGCAGCTTCTTCCCATTAAGCCCCCAGAGCTCCCATCCTGTCTAAATCCCTCACATGTGTCAATTTGGTCCCATTATTGACAGTGTTTAAAGTCAAGGACTGCAGCCTACAATTTGGATTGAGGCTCAATGTCAAGAAGACAAAGATTCTCACCACTGGACCAATTGGCAGCATCAGGATGGATGGTGAAGAGATTAAGATTGTACACAGCTTTAGTTTGCTTGGCTCCATAGTCAACACTCTCGGCACCAGCAGCCAGGAAATTAAAAGGCGCACTGCCATGGGAAAGCCTGCTGTTAGGGACCTCTCCAAAGTACTGAAGAGCAATGGTGTCTCTCTGGAGACTAAGGTGCATCTGATACAGGCCATGGTCTTCGCAATCACTTGTTATGCATCAGAGAGTTGGACAATGACCAAGGAGGATAGAAGGAGAATTGATGCCTTTGAGCTGTGGTGCTGGAGAAGAGTATTGAGAATACCGTGGACTGCTAGGAAAACAAACAGATTCATCCTGGAAAGGGTTAAACCAGGTGGCTCCTTGGAGGCAAAGATTCTGAGGCTCAGTCTAACATACTTTGGACATGTTGTGAGGAGGGACCGGTCCCTGGAGAGGGATATCATGCTTGGGAGGGTGGAGGGACAGCGCAGGAGAGGAAGGCCCTCTATGAGGTGGACTGATTCAGTGACTGAGATAATTGGGATGGGAGTGTCAGAGACAGTGCGATTGGCACAGGACAGAGCGGAGTTTAGGGCTGTTGTACATAGGGTTGCTATGAGTCGCAAGAGACTCAACAGAACATAACAACAACAACAACAATGCTCAAGGTAGATTCTTCTTAAAATAGTAGTTAAGTTAGGTGGTTAATTATCAATGTGGTTGAACTGTTCTAGTTTGGCAGCTACCATGCGGCCATTCTCTTGATAAGATCTAATGATAATGATAATCTAATGATAATGTCCTTTCCTTGATGGTCTCAGATGCTCATCTCCGTGAGGAGGTTTGCTCTGAGCAGCCACCAGCTGAAAAGCCATGTCACAGGCGTGAAGCCTGCGTTAAGTATATACGGATGTCTGGCAAAAGGCTCTTTTGGGTTTTGCTCAATCAGAATCCTTACATTTCTCATTTTTATTGCACTTTCTATTTAGAGTGGTAATTCTGGTAGCCTAGCGGTGAGGAGTGGTGTTGACAATTCAAAAGTAAGCAGTTCGAATCCACCAGCTGCTCCTCCAGAGAAAGATGAAGAAAACCTCCTCCTGTGTGATTTACAGCTTCTGAAAACCCCCTGGAGTGTCAGCTATGAGTCAGTTCCAACTCAGTGGCACATGACAACATATTAGATTAAAAGCAGCTCTGCTGGTATAGTCCAAGTGCGCTGCACCATCCACCAAAGTATTGTACATCTCTACTGGTTCACAGCCATCAGTGACTGTGGGAGAAACACAGGCAGTCTCCTTTTGTTATGGTTCACAGTCTTGGGAGCCAATGAGGGCCACTGTGAGCTGGAATCGACTGAGTGGTAACGAGAGTTTTCTAGCAAGCCAGCCTTATGTTTGTGTGCAATGAGTTAGAACTAGCCCAAGGGCAACTAAAGCAGAAGATTCTGATTTTCCACTTGTTGGAACTTCATGTTCCCCTTTAATATGAAAGTAAAGGAAATGAATCAACTTAAAGGAAAAACGTTAAGTAGATTGTATAACTCATGGTTGTAAAACTGATGAGAGAGCTGAGAGACTGCTGCTTTTTGGAATAATCTCACACTCTGGGGTGGAGAATCTTTGCAGAGTTCCTGGTTGTGGACCCAGTGAAGCGTTCAGCGACTGGTCAAATCATTAGTAGCTGAAAACTTCTGAGAAGCACCTCTGAAGACACACCTGGTGACTTGCTTTGAAGTGTTTTGAAAACCCCATGGAAAGTTCTACTCTGAGTGTCTTGGGGTCGCTATGCATTAGAATCCATTTGATGGCACCAAGAATAGAATTCACAGGGCCCTTGTGAGTCATAGTCAATTCAACGATACTATAACAGCACCCAAGAACAACAACACTGAGGTATACTTACAGAAAACTGTGTATATGCTAATTGTACAGTGTACAGTGTGCATTCATGGACTCAGTGTCCTGGAAGCCCCTCATTTCCTCTCGATTTTGCAGATTTTTAGCAAGAGAATGACTTTAAGGGTATGAAGCATGCGTTGAATGGGGCAGAGATGGCAGGCTGAGGGGTGGAGAGGAAGGATGGATGTAAAAGTTACCTGCAAGGTCAAATTAGCAGGAGTGGACTCCAGTTGGTCATGGGGGTAGGGATCATCCCAGCTTTGGGGTCTGTCACCTTGATAGAGACTGTAGGAGGAGGTGGTGGTGGAAGGACAGTTATTGAGGGGCTTTGATGAGACTGAGATGCTGGGGGACACGATGGTGCCCCTCGCAGGGAGAGCTCTGCCACCCACCCCATCACTCCCTGGCTTTGCCTCCATGCTGGCATACAGACAGTCTGGCTGGGGAAAGGATGAAAACCTATCTGGATGTGGGCACAACATTCTCAATACCCCATTCATGGGACCCAGTACAGCCCCCAGTGGAATAATCAGCTTTTGTCTTCCCTCTGCCTGGCCTGGGGACAGCTGGGAGACGGAGCCGGGAGCCGTAGGGAGGGGAGCTCCATAGGTATCTGGGCTTTCCACCCTCTCCCAGGCCTCAGGGCCATTCACCTCTCAGGTGGCTGGGACAATGTCCCCTGCCCCCAGCCATTTTGTACCCCATCCTGTGAGTGAGGGGACAAGAGTCCCTGCACTCTCTGACCTCCCTGGCCCAGCAATGACAGAGAAAGATCCCTAATCTAGAACCCTCTGATCTCAAATCCCAGCTGACCCACGTGTTGTTAGTGACCTCATGACACCTGCCTCATCCTTCAGCTCCAAGCTTGGCTCCTTCAAGTCTGCTCCCGCCCCACTCCCTGGGAACCTTGGTCAGGATGTGGCTTAACCCTTCTCTGCTTGGGGTGCACTGTGGGAAGCTCTCACACTCTCTGCTCACCCTTAAATAGTGCGTCTCACAGAGCAGGCAGCCTAACACCAAGGTTAATCATCAGTTCTACCACCAGCTCTGTGACCTCACCTCACTAAGCATCATCATTCTCATCTGCAAAATGAGCTAATCTCTCCTCTTACCATTGCTATTAGGCTAAATAAGTGAATATTGATCAAAGGTGTAGCCCAGTGTCTCTTAAGTGTGACAACTCTTGCGGTTGTTATGACCTCAAGATTGTAGACTCTTCAAGGGAACTGACCCTACAATAATAGCA